GGTCCAGGCACAACAACACAATTATCAGGGGCGCGCTCATTGATACAGGGCTCAATGGAGCCCTTTTACAAATAATCTCTCAAGAGATTTGAATCCTTTGCAAGCGCCATTGGGTTCAAATTTTGAATCTCCATAACATAAATTTTTCTTTTTGAAAAGAAATTACAATGCTCTTTTGAGAGAAGTTCTGATTTTTCACAATAATAATGCTGAAGACAGAAACATGCATGCAGCATAATTAGCCTATGAATGGGCTCAATTATGTGCTTAACTATAAGAATATTTCAATGTAAATTATTAGGGTAATATTGCTTGCACCATCTTTTAATTGCACTAAAGATCTTCAATCTTCTTTATTGTCGCAGTCATATCTCCACCTTCTTCGTCTCATTCTTATCTTCAATCTTCTTTATTGTCGCAGTTATGTCTCCACCTTCTTCGTCTCATTCTTATCTTCAATTTTCTTTAATTAGCACATCTGGTCGTCCTTGACGGAATTTTTTTTGTCACTGGATGTAGAGAGATAACACGATCTCTTGTTTGGGCATTCCGACTGTTCTTGTTCATCTAAAGCTCCCAGAGAAAGCACTCGTTTGATTGTTTCCAAAGCATCGTTTACACAGGAATTCATTTTTATGTCATAATTCCCATTAGACATAGAGGGTTGTTTATAAGTCCATCCCTCTAAGTCTTGCTGTCCATTTCCATTTACTGCTGCTTCACTTTCTTGGAATATGATTCCATAATCTTTAAGATGATCCATATTTTTAGTGTTATTGTTTGTATAATTTTCATCATCTTCTTCTTCTTCTCCATGCTCCTCAAGATCACAAGGCAGAGGACTTTCAAAGCTGCTGCTGCTGCCACCATTATGCTTTCCAGATTCTGGGATATAGCTCTTGTGGCGAACACGGCATAAAACCCAGTCATCCAACTGCAACGAAGTACTTAGGCATGCAAAAAAAGCTCGTTGTTCTGGTGTAGAAGACATAAATTTCTCTCTATTTAACAATTTAAACTTTCAAAAGAGGTGGTAACGGACTAGACGAAAGATCTGACTTCAAGTCCTTTATTAAAAAAGTTGTAATGTTGGGCTTTCAATGGGAATTTAAAAAACTGAATCAAGCTTACAACCACTTATAACTTTTAGATCAGACAGTCATCGAAGAGGAGGCAAACAAATGTCATCAATTCTTTCGTTAATTACTACGGAATTTTGAAAATTCATTTCAAAGCAGAGTACTTACTCTCATTGATCTTTTATTCGTGGTACATTGATGGCTAGTGTTGAGAAGTCTGTACTCATCCATCATCCATTCAGTTTTTGTGCCTTTCGGGGGGCGACCTTTGTAAAACACAAGAGCTTTCTTCACACCAACACACCGCGATGCAAGGGAAGAAAGGATTGGCTTGTCCTTTCCTGTAGCTTTCCAATAGCCAGACGTAGCTGTTCTGTTGGGACGCACACCATTGGGATACTTCCTATCACGGGGACTGAAAAAAAACCATTCACTGTCGCCGAAGTAGGCCTTATCTACAGAAATACATACATAACTACATAAGCAATTTATAATAATGCCTTACTAATGAAAAAAAATGAAAATTTTGTTCATTCTTATGTAATATTGCATACCAAGCATACCTTAATATCAATATCATTACCAATGAAACATTCTTTTACTTATCAGCATATAATTAAACTTTTAGATAAGATTGTCGTCTGTCCAGTGTTGAATCCAAAATCCCAATGTAAAGTTTTGGGAATGATAAATTATTCAAATGTCATACTGAAAATATAAATACAAATATATTGGTCCCTCAGACCATGCGAAGAAGAAAAAGGGACAAATAGAAGATGATTCACCAGGAAGTTCCCATGGATTCAGTTTGTAGAGATCGGTATCAGCTATTAAGGAGGCTAGTTGACTGGTTGAAGAAGAAACCTTGTTCTTCAAATAGAACATAAGCTCCTCATCAGTGGGATGAAACCTGAAACCTGGAGGGAGAGAGAAATCTATGGTTTTATTCATTGTACCTTAATCTGAGGAAGATAATTCGAATCTACATATATATATTAACAGATAAAATTCCACATCGAATAAAGATAAAAATATAGACCAATTTATAAGAGTTTGAAATCCTCACCTTAATAAGATTGATCTTTTAAGATGAAACCTCAATTCTTAACATGGTATCAGAGCTCATTAAGTTTCAACGAATAATTCGATCCGATTAAGACTAAAAAAAAAATTGAGCATATGGATTTTAAGATTCGCCAGCTCGAATGTGCCACCATCTCGAGGGGGCATATTAAGGGATAAATTCTACGTCGAATAAAGATGAAAACATATATTAATTTATAAGAGTTTGGAACTCCAAAATCTTAACAATATACGCGTAGAGAAGGGAGATTTTATATATATATAAAATTTGGACCAAGCTAATATATATAAAAATAAATTCTTGGTTTGATCACCTATTTTCATGTGATACTGGTCTTATGTAATTGTCAGCTTGTAATGCATTAATCAGCCTATAATGTGATCCGTGTTCTCTATTACGTACAAAAAGGAGAAGCTTTGTAGAAGAATTATAAACTTGAAATTTCTAACTGAGGTTAATCGCATCGTTTATTTCATAGATAAGATAGTCATTTTTTAATATCTAAGAGAACTAACTTATCGATATCTACACTTTCATATTTTGATATAAACACTAGATGATGATCCGTTTTTCTTCGTTAATGTTGTATAGACGAGAGGAACATAAGATCTTTATCTTTTATAGCTTACAAGAATTAAAGATAATATTTTTCATGTTCTCTGCACTAGAAAAGCAGACAAAAGTAAAATTTGTTAGTTATTTCCAAGAGAGAAAATTGGATATGAATTTATTTGTAATAGATACACCAGAATTAGAATATGCTATCCTTGGATTTGCCAACTACATGACTGCAGAAAATGAGAGAAAGAGCATAGTTGACTGAATGTTATGAAGTTGCTACATTGAATAAAATTTCTGTCATCGGCTACTGCATACTAAACATCCAATCTTATTTGGTGAGGAAGTTATCGCACGTTAAATGATATCCAGCTGCAAATTTTGAACTTGGAGGAGAATTATGTTAGTCGAAAAACTTTTGCGGAATGAAAGGTAATGTGTCAGCTGGTTAATATGCTTTAATTACTTATAAGTTGTGGATTCTTTTGACTTAAATTATAATTTAATTTAAGCATTGCCAAACATGCTTATAAGTTATAACTAAGGAGTCAACAGTACATTTTGAGCCAAGATCAATGGACTCAATTTCTGTTGAAGGCTGAGCTATTACAAAAATATCTCTGTTTTTGGACTGACTTGTCTCCCATGGAATTTACACATTATTCAGAGGCTATTGAAAATGAAACATGAATAATTAACAATAAAGATAAGCATTTTAATATGAGAAACCATCAAAATCCAGCCAGGATTTGATTCCTGAAACCTAGGTGGCTGCGAAATCAGACCAATGATATTCCTTCATTTGATTTGGGTAAGTACTGTTCATTGTTTATAGAGTAAAAAAGTAAAGAGAAATATCCAATTCTCTTAGGATTATCCTTCAACCATCCAGAAGATGAGAAGAACAAAAAAATGGATGTAGTAGCCGATCAAACGAAGTGAAATGAAAACAATACACGTAATCGATGAGAATAAATCTTAATTAACGCCCATTTGACATGGCTTTTGAAAAGTCAAAAGGAGTTTTTGAAATCCAAAAGCTGCTTTTGAACCAATTTGACTAATTTTATCGAAGTGCTTTCGATAGTTAAAAAAGCTTTTAGGGAAGCTGGTTTAATGTAACTTCCTCTAAAAGAACTTTCAAAATTAATTTTCGGACAAAAATTAAGATAGATTCCTCCAAAAACTTTTCTATAGGAAGCACAGACAAACGCAAAAATAAAAGTCATGCCAAACAAACCCTTAATTTGTTGATTCCAAAAACTTTTCTATAGGAAGCAAAGACAAAAGCAAAAATAAAAGTCATGCCAAACAAACCCTTAATTTGTTGATACAAGTTCATATACGTATACCTCATCCCTCTCCCGACTGCCTCAAAATGACAAGATCTATTGAATATTGGGCTCCAATCACCAACCAAAATCGGGCTCAATATATATGATAACACATAGATATTTTCAAGCATGTTCACACAGAACAGCAGATTAATACGAAGTTAATCAAACACGCATTCATCACATATACAACAAATGCATAAATAACCTACGAAAAGATCTCACCACACTTATACTATCTCATTCTGTGTTGTTCACACCTCGAGAACACATATCTCACCTCATTGCCCACAATGCTCACAAACTAATCACTCAAAACACATGTCTAACTGGTAAGCCTCTATAGATACTAAGCTATCGGGATAATACTCTATCACTACATCACTTCTCCCAACCTACGTGGATAATGAGTCTCCACCTAACAGAAGTGATAGAAGTGACTCTCTCATACTCCACCTGATCAAGGTCTCTTCACAGATAAAGGATTTCAACATTTGATCACACCTTCTCTCGTGATCCAAATGTCACACTCCACATCCCCGGTACAAACCACTTATGTACCCCTAGGCATCTATACTCCACCTTACCAAAAAGACCACACACACATACACATTCACACTACTAATGCATCCAAACCTACTGTGCATGCAAACAATTGCACCAAGTAATAAGATCACTTCAATTCATGTCAATGCATATATCAAACACATTGAAATGCAATATATAATCATGCAACGGAATTTAGAAATCACACACATACAGAAATGATTACACACGAATGCAAATGCAATAACTATGGTAACACTAAAAAAGGCTCACTAGGGTCATCACTCGACCTTAATACCAAGTTCGTCTCACCTCTCATCTTACCCTTTTTCTTGAGACAATCCATAATGAAGTGTCCGATTTACCACAATTGTAACACCGTCTACCACTAGGCTTGTCCGTCTTTTGCCCTTCTTCTTACCATCCACATCACTCGAATCACTACTATCTTCAACTTTACCAAAACTCATCCGCTTAAACTTCATTCTACTCTTCATCATATGTAGTTCACCACTTCTTTTATCTTCTTTTTCAACATTAATCTCCATCTCCTTACTCCTAATGAAATCTATGACAATTTCAGGTGTTAGGGTGTCCCTACCATACTTAATTACATTCTTAATCTCTCTATATGAATCAGACATAGAATTAATCACAATTAACGATGTCTTAAACCAACTTATTGAAAACATCCAAATTGTCATCAAGATCCTTTGAAGGATCATTTTAAAGCTAAAAAAATCTTTCGAGCAAGTTTATTAGGAATAGATTTAAGCAAATATAAGTCTTCCAACTTTTGCCAAAATTCTTTGGTAGAATCAAGTTTTCCTACTTTTCTCAAAACAGTGTTAGACAATGTAAAATAATTGAAGTGTATGCAAGTTCATCATATTCTTCTTTTTGTACTTCTGTAAATTTTTTAGGAAATTTGTCATCTATGGCCTTTGAAACTTTTTGTTGAACCAAAATTCTCTTAATCTTTTGTTGCCAAATTGAGAAATCTCATTTCCCATTGAAAATTTCAATTTCGAAATGTGAAGATATTTTGAAAAACAGAACAACAAAAAATGCACAAGTAGGTCACACATAGTAATCCTAAGGCAACAATATACACCATTCTAGATTTTCAGGGTTGCGTAAGATTCACGATCTTAGATCACGAGAATGTTCGAACCGGTCAAATCAGGGTGTTCTAACAGAATAGTCAATGCAACACGAAGGTATATGAACAAAAATTCAAAATTCTCACGCAATTCAATCTCACACAAAGACTAAACAACAGTTATAGCACAAAAGTAATTACCAACTTGCAGTTTAAATCAACACTTCAAATAGAGCAATTAATCGCTAAATTTCTAGCACAGGCAATAGTTATCCCTTCACGATAACCCCAATCCTAATGTCACCTTACACGATGACACGCTGATACTGAAATTTAACCGGGATAAGCCATTTTACCAAAGCGGACCTATCTGAATCCGTAAATTATGAGAGATGCGAATTTACTGCTTTAGGGCCGCAAT